GTGAGGTTTCTGCTTCCTGGATGATGTTACTGCATTTTCCAGTGGATTTTTTTAAACTTTTAATTAGTTTGCCTTGTACCACTACAAAGATCTTTCAAACATATTTCAACTACAAAGCATTCATACTTTCAGGGTTTAAGCATAACTTTAATCTTCTCATCCTTTATATCTTTAATTTGTTTTGTTTCATTTTTATGTGTTTCTGCTTTTCGTTAATTTAAAAATTAGCATTTAAAGTAATGTGTTCTGTTATGAAATCTTCATACAAGTTTGTTCTCCTCCTTTCCCACCTCCTCACTCCTCCTGCTCAGCCGCTTTCTCCCCCTCTGCTTTCGGGTCACAGGGGCCCCATTACCCTTCTTGTTTTCTCCTGTGTTTAAGGTCTTTTTCCTTTCTCACGGTCTCCTTTCTAGTTTCATGCCTTAGCTTCCTACACACACGCACATACACACACGCACGCACGCACATGCAAACACACCATGAAAGTACTTGGCATTTGTCATCCTGACTCTGTCTTATATGGCTCTTCATGAAACTTCCATCAATGTTCATGCAGATTCCCTGGTTCCATTTTGCTTTATGGCTGAATAAAATTCCATCATGTGTTTGTACAACACTTATCTCTCATGTTGATGGGCATCTAGACAAGCTCCATGTCTTAGTTACTTTGACTTGTGCAGCAGCAAGCACACATGTGCAAGTATCCATGGCAGGACACAGGGTCTTTCCATGAATACCCCCTGGGTCATATGGTAGTTCTCTCTTTATTTTATATTATTTTTGAGGAATATGTTTATTTCTATGTTTATTTCTGTAGTGGCTGCATCAGTGTACACTCCTACCAGCAGTAAATAAAGCCCCCCCCCCTTCCTCAACTTTTGTCGTCACTGGAGTGAGATGGAATCTCAAAAGAGTTTTGGTTTGCATGTCTGGATATCTAAGGCTGGTGAATATTTTTGGTAATAGTTATTGGTCATTTGTGGTACTTTCTTTGAGAACATTCTGTTTGACCCATGTGTTGGTGGGAAATTTTGTGGGTTTTGGTGTCATGTGTTCTTTGTATGTTCTCATATCAACAGCACCACCCCACCCCGCCTCTAGTCTAATATACTTGCTGATGATTTTCTCCTACTCTGTAAGTCATAGGCTTACTCTCCAGGTAGTTTCTTTTGCTGTTCAGAGATTTTTAATTTCATGTAGTCTAATGTGTAAGCACTTGGGGTTATCGCCTGTGATACTGGAGTCCTTTTCAGAAAGTTCTTGCCTATACCTATATCCTGAAGTGTTTTCTCTCCTTTCTTCTAACAGTTTTCAGTGTTTCAGGTTTTACATCAAGGTCTTTCATTCAGTTTGAATTGATTTTTGTATAGAGTAAGAGATACGGATCTGATTTCTCTCTCTGCATGGGAACACTTAATTTTCCTGGAACCATTTAGACAATGGCTCTAGAGTATAACATGAGGTCAGGTATTATGATTTGCCTAGCATTGTTCTGTTTGCTTAGGATTGATTTGCTATTGGGGTCTTTTGTGTTTACACATTAATTTTGGGGCTGTTTTCTCTAATTCAGTGAGGAATGTTGTTGGTATTTTTGTCGGGATTGTGTTGAATTTGTAGACTTTTTTTCAGTGTTATAGGTGTTTTCACAATGTTCATTTTGCCAATCAATGAGCATGGAAGCTCTTTTTGTTTTTTAGTATTTCCTTCTGTTTCTTTGTGTCTTAAATGGCATTGGTTAGCAGCTGATTTCTGAAAAATTGTCTTTTCAAAGGCCTTGATTTCCTGTGTCATGAGAGAGGTGATTGCACCTTCTAAGCTCCAGTGTAGAAATGTGTAGAAATGCTTTAGCTCTTTGTGTGATTGGCTTTTGTTTTGTTTTTGTCTCACGAAATATTACAAAAAACTTTTATCAAGTTGTATGTTGAGATGGAGAGGTAGCTTAGTGGTTAAGAGCACTGTTTGCTCTTCCAGAGGACCTCGGTTTGATTCCCAGCACCTACATGGAGACTAACAATGGTTTGTACTCTAGTTCCAGGGGATCCCATGCTCTCTTCTGTCTCCCTTAGGCACAGCATTTATGTGGTGCACAGTTATGTAGACAAAACAACTGTACATGTGAAAATAAAATTAAAAAGATAAGAAAAAAATTAAAGTGTGTAGGTTAGGTTTGTCTAGGCACATTAGGCAAAGAATGACCATTTCCTATGCATTGATGATGCTGTTTTTTTAGGACAGAAACTCAGCATTATCTTTTGCTATGACCCAGTAGCCAAGCCCTGGGCAGTGGCCTGCCTGGCAATGTCTTCCTAGTAGTGTCCATTGCTTCCTCCACAAGCATCCTTCCACTGTGGTCTTCTGCCTTCCTGTTTCCCCCTTCCGTCCCTTGGCAAGTTACCTCTCTGCTGAAAACCAATCCAAAGTCCCCGAGGAAATGATTTACCTACCATGGGGCACCTCTGGTGACTAGGACCCTTTGCCAGGTCTCTTCATGTTCTGCTACAGGATGGGAAGGAAGGCCACCCCTTCTCCCTGGCAAGCAGCTATGGCCAGGATCTGCCAGCTAACAAGTGGGTTACAGGGAGGGGAAAAAAAAAAAGGTAAGTTCTTATAGTCTCTAACCTGGGGTAACTCAACTGGATTCTGTTTCCTTTTTCTTTTGACACAAATAGAAAGATCTCTGTTTTCTAAAACAGTTGAAAGGGAATGAGGCAATTTATTGACAATTCCTAAAATCCCTGGCAGTGCTATAAATTTAGATTTGAAGTTAGGGCACTTAAAAATAAAAAACCCAAACAACAACAATAAAACCAAAAACAATGCCAGGAAAGCGGCTGTGTTATGAAATGTTGGCATTTCTAATGTCAAGCTCAGCACTACAATGGCTCTTGCTCCTCTTTCCCACCCAAAGAGAGTGTTGTGTTCAGTTATCTATCTCCAGAGTAAGGGTCTGAACCTCTGGGAGCCTGGCACAGTGTCTTAGACCTTAAGGTTAACCTTCCCTGCACTAAAAATAACACATTTATATAAATAGTTTCAAGATCAATTTAGCTCTCTGTGTTTCTTCTCATGGCCCCAGTAGTAAGTATTATCCCACTTATGAAAATTGCAGGATTTTTCTTGTGCAGTCTTACCAATTTTTGACCCATTCTGACCTGGTTTACCCATTTATCATGGGCCACTCATCTTATGTGCTCATGTCCACTCTGTGTCTAGTCTAAAATTGTTTCCATAAGGAGCAAAAGAGCAGACCATAGGGGTTTTATTTTTGAACACTTGAAATTATGTAACCAGTGATCTGTTAGTGTTTTTATCCATCCTGCAGAGGCTCCATAGTCTGACCCAAATAGCCATTAAAATAAGATTTTTGTTCTGGAAGGAATGAGTAAGGAAAACACAGCAAGGAGAAAAAAATTCCCTGATTTACTATGGAAAATAGTGACTTAATTTTTAATTTTTAGATTCCCTTTGCTGGTGTGACATAAAGAAACCCTTAAGAAGACAGATGTACAGTATTATTTGTAGAGGACATGGGTAAAACCCCTCCAGAAGCTCCACTGTGCTTGAAGCTGCATTGATTTGTCTTTTGGAAACATCACAATTGGACAAGAGTGGTCCATCCAAACACATCCAGACAAGTAGCCCATGGACACTATCTTCCAGGTGGCAGTCCTCTATGGTTAGCTAGTGGCACGATCCATTCTCTGACCCCCAGAGAGGTTTTATTTGTATAAGCAAGATATCACCACAATGATACACTGCAGGATCTATTCCAGAGATAATAGAGGCTGCTCTTCCTTGCTGGCTACTTAATGGCACATCACAGTGTGGTCTCAGCATTCTGACACATCAGGAGAAGCCCAACCCAGATTTTTGTAAAAAATATCTCAACTACCAGTGAAACAACTTCAGGGATAAAAGGGCCTATGGCCAAGCCTTACCACCTGACTTGGATTTCCAGAATCATGTATGTGGTAAAAGGAAATAGTTGTTTTCTCTTGACTTCCACCCGTGCTCTGTCAGACACGAGTGGCCACCCCCCAATATAATTAATAAAATAAGTATCTTGACTAGCAAATACTGGCAAGGAACCATAAATTTACATCTATTTCTATGTCCAACAGTTGACTGCAGGTCAGACTATGACTTCAGGCTGCCAGTTTGTTCTCCCACACCTCAACTGCCTGAGGTTATAGAGAAGAAAACCCAGACCCAAACAGGTGACCGTGCTGTACCCGATGTGGGGTGAGATGGGGCAAGCGGGGCAGTTTATGGAAAGGTCTAGTGAGCTTCTAGAAATGGAGATTTCAAAAAGCTTCCATGGGGAAAGCTGCTCTGATTTAATGAAGGGGTTTTCCCCCCATCTCTTTTTAGGGGTTACAATAGTTAGAAATACTAGCAAGAGGTAAAAAGAGAGGAGAGATGACACATCTCATTCTATTAAGTTTCAGGGGTACCCCATTCCTTAGCATTTAGTTTCTTTCCTCTTCAGAGCAGTTCCCAAAGTGATTTTGCTGTTTAGATTCAGGGAGACATGTCAGTGTTCAATTTTTCATTATTATTAATAACCCTCTACTGTTTATTTATTGGTTTGGACAAAATTGTAGTTCTTAACCACCAAACTTACTAAATCCATTTCACAATCCAGTGAAGCTTCAACATTGCTGAATGGTATTGAGATTTTATTTAATCTCAGTTTTCCTTCTTAATGTGGAGAAGAATTTGTGGAAAATAAAACCACTTGGATCTTCTTTCCTTACTAGAACTCTCGGCTGTGAGTACAGAGTCAACACAGTCAACAGACGACAAGTTTGTGTTATTCATTTACTTTCAAAAAGTAGGAAACATTAACATCAGCATTCATTTTGGAGTAATTGTAGATGTATAGGAAAGTTGCAAAGATTGTACAGAAAGTTCTGAGCATTCCTCGATTGCTTCTCCTAATATTGCCTCCTAAGCAACTATAGAACATCTGTCAAAACCAAGAAATGAGCAGGGGCACATGCTATGACCTAAATTACAGATTTTATTTGAATTTGTTGCGACTTTAAAATTTTTGAAGTTATATTAAAACTGTGTGACAAAATTCATGAACAACATAGCCTATGTTCCCCTGGCAATCTTTATGTAGGTAAAAGTTACACTATTGTTTAGGCTTTGTAAATGCATTTTAAAGATCAGGGCTTCTGGTCTTTCTTCCAGCCAGCTGTTTTCCCTAAGCTCCTCTGGCAGGGAGCCCTGCAGCTGCTTCTGTGGAGAAGGCCTGTGTGAGAAAGGGGCAGAAAGAAACACAAAGCCTGCATCAGATGCCAGCTTGGAGGCTGAGGTAGAAGGATAGTTTGATCCTGAAGCATTGAGAAAAACCTGGGCCACCCCGGAGGACTTGTCTCAAAAACCCAACAAAGCAAATAACAAGAAAATCAGTCAGAGAAAGCCATGAGCAGGACACTTGGTAGCCCCCTCTAAGCCCAGTGCAGGGGGTGAGAGGTGTCAGAAAGAGTCCCCAAGCACAAGCAGAGCACCGTGCATGCTTACCCACAGTGTGTTTTCTAAATGGGCTGTGTTTTGGCTCTGCGACCAGGGCCAGTAGTCTTCAAGGCTAAGCTGGGATGGGGTTTTGTGAATGTGCTGGGTAAAGCATGGCAGAGGGTGTGAGTGACAGTTTTAACAGACAGGTGGAAGTGGCCTGTGGCTAAGAGGACTGGGTTAGTGGTAAGGCACATGTGTGGGAGCTTTCACAGATTGAAAATGGAATAGAAAGAGGGTTGAGTCTCCTGCAGACAGGAGGAGAGGAAAGAAATCTTCAAATTGCCTTGTTCTGACCAGATGGTCCGAGTTTTTAAAATTAAACCCTGAATGGGTGCTAGGCATATTGTGTCACCAGTGGAAGGTTGTCCTAGTGACTCAGTGTAGTCTCATAAAAATGGGTTTCCTGTTTACTCATTCTTTGTCTTTGGCTGACAGGATCAGTGAATACTTCCCCGAGGCTTGTTAAGAATCTTCTCCTAATTACATGTTTGATGTATTGTAGATGAAGCTACCACTAAGCCAACATTTCTTTCAGCAAAACTGTGTTTCCAAACCAAAATGTTTCAAGTGACTGCTTCAGCGTATGTGCTCTTTGCAATCATTAGGGGCTGTACTCAGGACAGAAAGAACACGGCCACCCCAGACTGTAATGTTCAGCTCACCTCCTGGAGAGGATGCTGGGTGTGAAGGCCAGCAGGAGTTTCCTTCCCGATGCTCTGCAGTTTCCTTTGGGGATGACCTCCTTTCTTTGTGTGCTGTGTGCTTCTGGTTAGTGAGTGATTACAAGTGGCTGACTCATGCTCTGGGAGCTTCCACTTCAGCTGTTCCTCCGCCAGCCCAGCCGTGGGTGGAAGAGCTCCTTGGACTATAGGTTCAGAGGGCTGGCTGTGAGGTCCTGAGTTGCCAGAGGCAACTGCTGTGCAGCCTGTGTCCTGAAGGAAATGTGGAGGTGGCAGTGGCCTCTCCCCAGGGAGCCTTCCCTTTCCTCTGCTCCTGCCTATGGCCTACGTGCTGCCCTGAACCCACCTCCTGTCCATTCTGTGCTTTCACGTCAGCACTGCTGGTTTTGTTTACAAGATAGGAACCCTAACTGGTAACGGCAGATAGTTTTTTTTGACATAAGACCCAAACTCAGATTGTGACAACTGTAGGCCTGCTGTCACTTAAATAGATGTCTTTAACCAAATCATGGAATTTGGAAGCTTTGATCAGCCTTTAAGCCCACCTGGCCCAGTGTTCTTCATGCTACAGGGGGGAATTGACCACACCAAGTGAAAGAAATATTCCAGCTGTTATAAACTGGACCTGATCCATGAATGCCTACACAGACCACAAGACTCATCTGCCCCAGGGCATCTGGTCCACACACTCTGGCCCTCCTCTCCTGCCCTTGTGCCCCATCTTGACATTTATGGAGTGACAACAGTCACTTAGAAAGGATAGGGGTGACTGGCACATGGAGAGTCAGCCTTCTGTGTTAGTGGTGTTAGTAGCATCATTCAGACATGGAGGCAGAAGACGTGCATGGTAGGTACACATGAGCTGTGTGATTTCAGCCCAGGCAGGCCCTTGATGCAGATGAAACTCTCCATAAGCAAGGGGTTATTAGTTTGCCCTGGAGCCAGACAGCACTCATGCTCAGTGGGGGTGACAACAGGTAATAACATGGTATAGATCTCATTTTAAATCTTAATTAAAACCCATTCCTTGTTTTGTGGACTGTGATTTTTCGTGTGTTCTAAGACTCACGCCTCCGAGTTCTGAAGGGATAAATGTGCTCAGGTGGTTTTGAATTGAGGGTTATGTTTTGAAGTTGTTCCTGAGAAGCTTTTTAGGAAAGTGTGCAGGCAGGTAGTTGACAGAGTGGCATCTGCCAAGCATTTCCTCAACAGATGCCATTATGTTTTCTTCACAGCTGTATCCAATCTGGAATTACATGTCATGTTTTAGGTGGGGGGGGGGGGGACAGAGGGGAATAGCAGCTGATCAGGGGCTGACCGACCCATCGTGGAGCTTCCAGTCCATAGCATAGACTGCTAGAAGGTGAGAGGCAGATGCCATGAAAAGTGGGGACACAGTTACTAAATCTCACTAGGAAGCCATTTTCATCTGTTCCTAAGGTGTGTGTGTGTGTGTGTGTGTGTGTGTGTGTGTGTGTGTGTCTTTCGGTGTGTGTGTGCGTTGGTTTTGTTTGTGTGTGCTGTCTCTCTGTGTGGTTGTGTGGGGTTGTGTGTGTGTGTGTGTGTGTGTGTGTGTGTGTGTGTGTGTGTGTGTGTGTTTCTCACAGGCCTGTCTATTCGATGACACTCTTCCTTCTTCCCCTTCCCCTTTTTATTGGTTTGGTTTTTGGTTTTTTGAGACAGGGTTTCTCTGTGTACCCTTGGGTGTCCTTGAACTTACTCTGTAGACCAGGCTGGCCTGGAATTTAGAGATCAACTTGCCTCTGCTTTCTGAGTGCTGGGATTAAAGATGTATGCCACCGCAGTCCGGAAGACACTCTTCCTTCTAAAAATTTAAAACACTGGCAGGAATTATAAAAGAGCAAGCATGCCCCCACTGTGCGATGTTTAATTGTAACAACAGTAGCTGTGGTGGCTAATCTTGATTGTCAACTTGAAACCTTGAAAAGAGGGAACCTAGATTGAAGAATTGCTTCCATCAGATTGATCTGTGAGAAATTTTCTTGCTTATCAATTGCTGAAAGAGACCCCGCCTACTGAGAGCAGCACCACCCAGGCAGGTGGGTCTTGGCTGTACAGGAAACGTAGCAAAACTTGGGCCTGGGAGCAGGTCAGTAAGCCATGTTCCTCTGGGGGGCTTCTGGTTCAAGTTCCTGCCTTGAGTTCTTACCTTGGCTTCTTTGGATGATGGATGGCAACCTGTGAGGTGAAATACATTCTGTCCTTCCCAAGTTGCTTTTGGTCATGGTGTTTATCACAGCAACAGAAAGCAAACTAGAACTGTAGCATGTCTTAGTGAGTCCCCTTTATGGCCAGGGACTCATCTAGCCACTTTGCTTTTGTTGTGGCTAAGGCTAATGCTGGGGCAGGTGAAGAGTGTTAATGTCTTTGCCCAGATGAGCAGCTGTGGAGCCATGGATATGGTACCAGTCCCTTTGTCTGCAATGACCACATGGGCTCCACTTTTACACACATCTGCTACAGCAAATATTTGGAAGTCAACCACTTAGACCTTCACCACACCATAACGGATGTCCTGCCCACCTTCTTGTGTTTTCAACACAGGGTCTTAATGTGTTGTTCCAGATAGTCTTGATCCCAAGGTCCTCCTGCCTCAGCCTCACAGATGCTGAGATAATGGGCATTTGCCACTTAGGTAGTTTCTTTTTCTTTTTCTTTTCTTTCTTTATTTTATTTTATTTTATTTTATTTTTAGACAGGGTTTCTCTGTATAGTTCTGGCTGTTCTGGAACTTGCTCTGTAGACCAGACTGGCCTCAGGACTCACAGAGATCTACCTGCCTCTGCCTCCTGAGTGCTGAGATTAAAGGCTCAGCTAGCTTGTTTTTCTTTAGCTTAGCATGGCTACATCTGAAATTCTGTAATCTCTTGATACTTCTTAGGCCTATTTTTATTCTATTACAAATTTTCTTGTTTTTTATTTTACTTCTTTGTTTGCTTTTTTATTAATTTATTTTTTACATTCCAATCCCAGCTCCCCCTCCCTTCTCTTCTCCTGCCCCCCATCTGCGTCTGCTCCTCGAAGAGGGTAAGTCTCCCTAGGAAGTCTACTAAGTCTGTCCCATCATCTTCTTGAGGCAGGACCAAGGCACCTCTCCACCTCCTACACCCCTGTCATAAGTGGAAACCTAATTAGCTAAAATTTTATTTAAGCATAAGTGTATGTATGACATGCTTTTCTTCAAAGTTCTGCTAATCTTTACCTCTTTGCTTATTTCCAGTAAACCGTTAGTCTTTAGGTGTCAAAATTCACCCTGTGTAGTGGCTTGAAGATTGTAACGATGCTTAGATGATACAAAGTGGCTGAAGTGCAGCACTCTTGATCCCTGATCCTGAGCTAACTGTTCCCTGTAAACCCTTTGGTATTCAGAATAGACCAGGGTCCTACATGCTATAGGCAGCTGTTGGGAATCCCTGCTTGGGTTTCACTCCTCAGGTTCCAGACTCCACCCCCTTAGATAGCGGGCCAAGGGTTAGCTCCTTCCCTGGAGCTGATCAAGACCACTCCTACAGGGTATTTAAGACCAGGTCTCTAGTCCTGCCCCGTGATTGATTTCTTTCCTAATTTTCTGAGAGTCACCAGGGAGTTGCTTTGTTCTGCTTATTAAATCTGGATTTATTAATTGGGTCTGATTTGTCTTATTGCATTGGTGGAAGAACCTGATAACCCCGGGATCCAATACTTAGCAGCAGCCTGAAGATTATGGGGCCTGTCTCAGAGACCTTGCTAACTTGGAAGGTGTCAGCTAAAAAGTTCACTCTCTTCCTCCCAGAAATCTTGAAACAACATTTAGCAATGGCTTCATGTCTAAAGAAGAGACTCTTACCCACTGGGCCATGAAGGGAGGTGAGAGGCATAAAGTTTGAGGCATAAGCTGGGACTGAATTCACTTCTTCCATTCGTTTACTTAGTCATTTAGTGCTAGTTATTCTCTCTACCCACATGGCACGTATTCTGGGCACTGAACAGATTCTCAGTAATTAAGCATCTGAAGTAAGTGCTTTGAGGTGAGGGATTCAGGGGGAGTTTGGAGGCTTGCTGAGCAGAATGAAGACATTGCTGAGGGGACCAGCTGGCTGGACACCTGGGAAAAGAGGGAACTGAAGCAGAGGGATGTCACAGAGGTTTGTGAAAACTGAAGCCAGGAGGACCCTGATCCAAATCACCACTAGAAAACTCAGCCCAACATCCAAGTCAGTAACTCATGCTCAGAACTTTCTTACACTCCTAAAAGCATGCACAACAGAATAACCTTGCGGTTTCCCTAGGGTTGATTTAAACATTTTCATGCCTCAAAAAGTTGAATAAGAGCTTAGGAGATGGCTCAGGGTTAGGTAAAGCATTTGCTGCACAAAACTGAGGAATGAAATCCCAATCTCCAGCATCCATGGGAAAAAAACAGAAGGGCATGCCTGCTTTCCTGGAATTCCAGTGTGCCCCTGGAAGCAGAGGCAGGGAACCCCCTAGCAATTTGTAAAGCCAGACTAACAAGCTTCAAGTTAACCAAGAGGCCCTGCCTCAGGATACGAAATGGAGAGTGATTGAGGAAGACATCTATTATCAGCTTTCACATGCACTTGCCTGTGTACACACATGTGCACACTCATATAAGAACGCACTATATACACATGGATTCAGAAAAGCTTACTGACATGGCTGAGGATGTATGCAGAATAGACCACGCATCCTAGATGCTACAGGCAGCCTAGAGATTATGGGGCCTGTCTAGGAGCCCTTGCTACGTGGGGGGTGTCACTGAAAGAGCTCACTCTCCTCCTCCCAGGAATCCTGAAACTCCTTTCAGCAATGGCTTCATCTGTAGCAGTATGTCTAACAATGGCAGCAGAATGCTTACCTTCATACAAGAAACAGACGAGAAACCCTAAGCTCTACCCCAGCACCACCAAAACTGAGCTTAATGGCACATTCCTATATGTAATTCCAGCACTGGGAAGGTAGAGGCAGGAAGGATAGGAATCCAAGATCATCTTTGGTTACACAGCAAGTCTGATGCCAGCCTGGGTTACATGTGATCCTGTCTCCAAATAAAACAACCCCCACCCCATTCTTTTTTAATATTCACAGATTTTGAAGTGTCGTTTCTTTGTGCTTAGGTGTGGTGTGGCAGGGAATAGTGTCTTAGGTAGCTAAGTGGAAAGTAGCTGTTTGAATTTAGTAGTAACTTAGTGTTTAATTTTCAGGCCTCATGAACTTCTTGAGTGTTTTGGCTTAAGGAGATAGGCATATT